GGAAAACAAACCAAACCAACCATACCGGATCGGTCGCCAGGATCGGTGACCAGAGAGGCCAGAGAGGTCTATAGGGAAGGCAAGGAAAACAAACCAAGCCAACCATATCGCCAAGATCGCTCACCAGAGAGGTAGTAAAAGAGGTGTAGCTATGCAAAAGAAAAAGAAACAAAACAACAATGCCGGATCATGCAACGTCTAAGTCCAGAATTTTTCCAAATTTTCTTAAAGTCAAGAAATGGGTTGTTGAAAAGTCGCTTCACCGCGCAAAACGCAAAAGGCGGAACGCCTGGAACTCGCAGTTGGTAAATTACGTAAATATGTATATATAATACATAGACACATTCGCCTGGTTACCAGACCACACCATGATCACAAAGTACTACTTCTTCGGGGCCCACGTCAGGAGGCTCCCAGGTTCTCTTCGTCTGGAGACAAGCCGGGAGCTCGCCGCCGCCTCATTGCTCTGTTTTTCTTGTTTGAATTCATTACGCTCACCTGTGCACCGCCGCTTTGGGCGGGTTATATCAACATCGAAAAATATAAATTCATCCACCGGGTATAATGTTTGTGATTGAAACCAGCTTTGCTCGAGGGAGCATTGTCTAATGCGTGCTATCTGTGGTATAGAAACGTCCGGCCAGCAAATTGGCGCCTATCCAGGCACCCATCAGTGCTCCCTGCGACCCGTCCTGGAAGCCCCTGCCGGTGGGATGCTTGCTTGTGATGTAGCTCTCAAAGTAGCGAAAAAGTATTCAAGCCAATTCCAGAGTCCGCCTCGAGATTGATGGCACCCTCCCTTTGCTTCAGGTGGAATTGGCAGGCTTTCTGCTTGCGGGCCTCAACCAACTTGGCGGTGGCACTGTTGCGAGCCCTTTGGTCAAAGGACTAGTGAAGAGGTCCTAAGCCTGCCTGGCCTGTACGTGTTAATGACCTTGTCTGCAACTTCCAGGAGTGTTGCGCGGTTGACAGCATTGAAATCAAACACACGCCGCAAGAGAGCATCCTCAGTCAGATCTCTTCGTAGGAGCAATAATATCCACGCATCCTGGAAGCCAACCATATGGAGGCTTCCAAGCTGCCAGTTCTGAATGGTGAAGTACAGGGCCAGGAAGTCCGCTGGTGTCTCCTGGCGTGCAAGCTACATGGGGGGTTGAGTTGTCAAGTTACGTTTCTCTTCAATAACTAGCTTCAGTTCATTTATGAAACACTCGCGACAACCAAGACAATGTTGAAGTGGTACTTCAGCATTTCACAGGTTTCCACGACCTTCAGCATTTCACATGTTCATCTCTTTCATTTTGTGCGCTCACACTAATGCACTGGCACATCAACATCCCTTCAACTAGTCTTCACATTGAGGCACATGGTCTGTCAGCGAGTAGGTGCCAGCACGCTCACAAGTTGGGTAGAGGTAGGTCTTGGAACGCTCAAAGAATTTGCCTTTCTGCTGCCAGTGATACAGGAGGGCACTGGGCACTGGTGCAGTAGCAGTGCTTCTGCGCAACCTCCTGTTTCAAAAAGCGCGCGTCGAGGCTGCTGCCACTGCTGCCCATTCAGAAGCAGCGCGCAAGAAAAGCCTGTCCTCCCTTGGTTGGTCCATGACACCTGAGGCTCAAGGGCCAACATCTCTGGCAATGCGCGATAACACTGATCACGTTCTGCACTACATGCGCATGTTGAGCCAAGCATGTCCAAAACACAGCCGAGCATGTGAAGCCAGTACCAAGGCGCAGCTCTCCACCTGCGGCACACCTTGCTTCTTGAGAGTCTGCAGGCCAGCCAGGCCTGAGGCTGCGTCAAAGGATTTGAAAAGAGATGGCCCACTGTCAACTGAAGTGCAGCCCAAGCACACTGGTTTGCAAGGCCAATCAGCTTGTCTGGGAAGGGCATGTCTACATAGACATGGTCAAGCTCCGCCTGCTCCAGCCACTCAAAGCCAGCCAGCGGATCACGCTGTGGCACACCGGGCATCCAAGGGAGCTGGTCAGCCAGCCTGAGCTGCAGCGTGTCCCAGCTAATCTTTGGCCCAGGCTCCGCTCCAGCTAGCCCTTGCTGCGCCCTGCCACCTCGCAGCTCTGCTTGTTGGGCTGCAGGACTGCCAGCCTGCAGGCCTGCTAAATGCAGACAGATGGGAGCTTATAGACTTAGGCCTGAAGGAAAACTCAACCGCCAGATAGTAGGGGAACTATGTAGACACTACAATGCAAAGAAATTAGCAATTCACTGAGAGCAAGAAAAGTCAGGCGTGAGAGAAAGCACTTTCGAGCCAGAGTCCATGGCAAGAGCAGCATTAAAATCAATGAGAGAATGCCGCATGATCCACTCACTAGCTGTGCCTGGAAGGCCTGCAAAGCTAGAGCTGGCCGGTACAGGCGCAGGCTGTCCACGATGCCGCAACCCCTTCCCACTCCAGCTCGTAGGTCTTCCACTCCCGAGTCAGCAGGGTCGTCGCCTCACAGATCTAGAGCGACGCAGCAAAGCCCAATGCAAATGACAGTGAAAAAACATACACGACATGGGTCTCTCAATCTCATGATTCTGATCGAGCAGCCATGGTTCGCTTCATAATCTCCTGCTCTCCCGTGAAGCCCTGCTTCTGCACCCTGAAGTGGAGCATTTGGTGGTCAAGTAAGGCCAGGTAGTCCTCACAGTTCCACACCTCAGCAGCACTACTTTGAATTTGTTGGCCAAGCAATGGGTCGCATGACTTGAAGTTTTGTTTGGGCGCATTGGGAGGTGACATTGCAAGTTTGCCAACTTTGCAATCAAAGGCGCGGGAGTGGGCCCAGGAACAGCATCAGTGATCAGTGGTCACGCTCTTACCATGGTCGCCATGCATCAGCCCCAGCTTTCACGCTCGGCCAAGCCAATGTCCAAAGGCTCATCCATGAGGACTGCATCCACGTTACCTCTAGTTCTTTGTGCCTGTGTGACCTTTGCGCAAACAGCCTGAGTACCTGGCGCAAGATATGGCGAAGAGTCTGGCACCTTGGCCAGCTTGATGTTGAACTCCACCACAAAGTTCGCCGCCATTGCGACAAGTGCGGCGTGAGCAGGTGAGGTATGCAGCTCGCAAGGAGGCAACTCCTAGTAGTAGTAGTAGTAGTAGTAGTAGTAGTAGCAGCAGTGGTAGTAGTAGTAGTCGTCGTCGTGGTAGTGGTAGTGGTAGTGGTAGTAGTAGTAGTAGCAGCAGCAGCAGCAGCAGCAGCGCCAGTAGTAGTAGTGGTAGTAGTAGTAGTAGTAGTGGTAGTAGTAGTAGTAGCAGCAGCAGCAGCAGCGCCAGTAGTAGTAGTGGTGGTAGTAGTAGTAGTAGTGGTAGTAGTAGTAGTAGTCAAAATAAGTCATAGTGGGAGTCATAGTGCTAAAAGCCATTCTACAGCCATTGACGATGGAGGCCCGCATCTTTCGTACCCGGCTTGCCCCCGCTTCGGGCACCGCCCAGTGCATCCAATATATGCGCAGATATCTTTGTAGCGTGCATTGTAGCTTGCCAGTTACATCCTTGCGAGGTTCTCTTTGTCTAGCCGTTCAGCGACATTACAGCTGCATACCTCACCCGCTCACGGAGCACTTATCGCAATGGTGGAGAACTTTGTGCTCACCTACTTGCCAGAAGGCTCGAGCCACTGAAAAGGAAGCAACGCTTGCAGTGGTCATGACTTGAGTTGAGCTCGATCGATCAATGAGAGGATCGGTTGAAGTTTCTGCTAATGCGTAATTTTCACTAGTTACATACTTTGCCGCCCTGATCGATGCTGGCATGCCTCCCATGGGAAGCCAAGACGGTCAAAGAAGTGAGGACATTTGGGGAACCTCTGTCAGCCTGGAAAGGTTTTGAGTTCAGGACCCCCAAAAGGTTTTGCACTGTACCCTGCTTTGGTGTATGCTGTGGACCTATATTATAATATTATATATAATATAATATAGTATATATAATATATCAAAGCGGCTACTAGATGTAGATTCTCTGCTCGATATCACTGTTCGCTGATGTCCCAGCGGTAGATCTATATAGATCACTGGTCGTTCAGTCACCGGAGGTATAGCAAAGGAAAACAAACCAACCGCACCAGATCGGTCGTCAGGATCGGTCGCCAGAGAGGTCTAACGAAGGAAAGGAAAACAAACCAAAT